AATTACACAGTCTAATGGACTAGAACAAAATTTAGCATGAAGGCAGATTAAAGACATGTGAAATGTACTTTACACATTATTTATGTGGCTACCCTCTTCACATTTCTCTAGGCGCCTTCCTTCTCCACCCCCAAGCATACGAGTTTGCAATTAAATGGCACATACACAAAGATATGTACATACATATACAATTCCTGTTCTGAACATTCTCCAATTCTAACTGTGCGCAAACTTCATTATATTGACATGCATCTCTGTCTTGACTATTCAAAACTGCCCTAAAACCAAGATAGGCATATCTTCTGGCATATCTTCTACCTGTAATAGCCTGAAATCCTCCTGAACGCTTGGGCCAGGCACTTTTGCCAGCTCCTTGACCGACTGCTACCTGAGATTATGGAGGAAAGAAAAAGACAAAAACATTCATTAGATAACAATACGTCTTTGTAATTTCTCTCTTCCCTAACACTTTGATATGCTGTTTTTAGCAAAGAATTTTCCATTACTCTGAAGTCTTCAGCTTCACTACCAATACAATTACTAAGAACATGAAGTGCTGTGGCCCTGTATGTTATGAAAGGCTATAACAACAGCAATGACTGATCTTGACCTCATCTTAACGTTTGCAGTAACAGAGACGTTATAAAAAAAATTTAAAAATCAAGTCCAGATGTCAACATTTTTTTTCTTTTGCACTTTTCCACATCAATCTGATACAACACGTATGTCAACTTGCAGAAAAACATTTGCAAGCACTATAATGGAAAACCCTGCAGGTAATACAGCACAATTCAGGAAGCCCTAGATAGCTTATCTTTGTGACCCGGAAAGTATAATTAATGAAATCATACCTTCTAAAACAAAAGGCCCAAGTCACAGGGAGAAGGCTTCATTCTTAATACTAAGTAGTATGCTCAGGCATAGCCATACAAGGCATTGGTCACATACAGCACATTATTACAGTAGTTTTTAACAATAATTGAACTTACTGCTTTTACCAAGAACATATGGGGTAAGTAGTACAAAAGAACTTGAAAAACAGTGGGGAAAAGTTGCCAATATTATAATAAAGAGAGATTTTAATACAACAGTAGTATTAGCTATTAATAATCTAACACATCCAAAGGCTTGTACAAATGCAATTAGAAGTTCAATATTTCAGACGTAGAGCAGCTTTTTTGTGTCCCTCTAGGTCACTTTTAATCTCTATTAGCTATGGAATTAACAAAGTAGCATTTCTATTCTTGAAACTCCTCAAATTAAGAAGCTGATATTAAAGACCAGGAAGATAAAGTTTGCAACCATTAATATAGAGTATTATGAACTTCAGTAAAATCTGAAACCTTTTCTATTTCCTGGTCGTGAAACTAATCTCTTCATTGCCCTTAAAAAGAGAATATCTATGAGCAAAGGCATACATAAGACATCAAACCATTGCAGAGAAAGACTTTTTTCTCACTTATTTATGAAGTTCTATGTTGTTTGATTACATATAATCTTCTCTGAAAATATTTTCAGGTACTTGTTCAAACCTGCCCATCATACATTAAACAACAGAAGTAAAAATAGTAATTTTGTTATCAACTATACCACTCACCAGAAAGGTGAAAACTCTACCATATTTGCAAAAAAGAAAAAAAAAATCATCTTGGCAACTAATCCAAGAAAAATGGGACCGACAGTTAGTTTCCTTAATTAGTCAGCCAGCAGTTAATATCTTACTAAAGTCAACCAACAAGTCACTTTTCTTCAAGCAAGCACTGACAATTCTTAAATTTCCACTGGTTACAAGATGGCTGGTCCGCAGACTGGCAGAGGGAGCTGACAGTAAACAGCTACATCCAAGCTTGCAGAGCAGAATACAACAGTTAGATTAGTAAATCAGAACAACAATGCAGAAATCTGTCCCTAAATAAGTGCCTGAAACAAACAAGGTAGAAATACAACACAATTGCACAGTTCTTTATTTCATTCTCTAAAACATCAGTATGGGTAAAAAACATGTCCACTCAGAGTCAAACTCTTTGAATGCAAACGTTTTATGTTTTAAGAACTGATGTTCATAGCATGCAAGATCTGTACAATGCACTACATACATTTTTCTGAATAATGTTCTCGCATACAGACTATCTCATCTTGTATTCAACTGTTCTTAGAAGATACAGCATACAGTTATTATTCTTCTGCCCTGGGGAAGATTTACTGGATCAATATAGTGAAAGCTTTCACCACTTACTGATAGTATGGATGTCACATTTGGTTTACAGGAGAGGTTAACTTCTACCTAGATATAAAATATCTCAAAAAAAGAGAAGGAGACATCTAAAGGCATCTCAATCCAGAGACCAATCTACAAGAAACCCTTCAGGCAAGCAAGCTCATGAGACACAATATCCTCTCACAGGTCCTTCTTGCAGGCTAACTCACATTTAAAAGTGGGCAACACTCCATCTTCCTAGAGAAGCTCAGTTTAGCAGGCCTGTTCAAAACACACTCAATACCCTCTGACAAGGTGCAGTTCTGCAAAAGTGACCAGTGTTAGTTATTTAATCACTGGTGTGTTGCATCTCTAAGTTAGGGCAAATATGGTAGTTAATCACTTCTCAGGCTAAAGATTTTATACACATACCTCCATCCTTTCAAAAGGGTACAACAGTCACATGAATTTCTCAAAGATCATTAGCAGGAAAGCATCTTAGTTTAAAAGAGTTGGATTAGAAAACCAGGAGAGACTCTCTGCTAAACTGCATGGTACACAAACAGGTAGGTCCAGCTTTTCCCAGGCACTGCCTTCATCACTGACACAGAGGGGCATGCTTTCTCTTTACTGCTATAAACACTGCACTAAGGATACCGCTCCCTAAAGACTGCAAATTACAGGCTGCAGGGCAGAAAACCTCAGAATATAGACCTAATTGACCTGACTTGCCTCACCAACTTGACTTCGATGGTCTACCTAGCACTGTAACTTTAGCATTTAGAACTGATCTACCTTCTTGACCACAATCAGAGCCAGGTGTAAGACAACTGGAGTTTCCTGCTTAGTCACATGCTCTGACAGGATCCAGTCCCTGCCCACTGAAACCCAATCACTTCCCTTTACTCTCCTCTGCATTGCCTTTCGTTCTCTCCCATCTTCTCAACTTCCTCACATCCTGTGAACTGGAGACAAGAGAAGCAGCTTTCTCAGATCAAGGAGTGCATGACCAAGTCAAACACTACTCAAAGAAATCACCACCATCCACGCAGATGCAACACACCAATTGTTGTGCACACACAACTAGCAGTGTGCACCTGCAGCCCAGAAAGCTAATTGCATCCCGGGCTGCACCAAGAGCAGCATGGCAAGCAGGTCAAGGGAGGGGATTCTCTCCCTTTACTGCACTCCTAAGATCTCGCCAGTAGTACTGCATCCCGTTCTGGGGACAGCACGACTAGCACAGGGGATGGTCATGAAGATGACTGGAGACTGAAGCACCTCTCCTATGAAGACAGGCTGAGAGAGTTGGGGCTGTTCAGTCTGGAGAAGAGAAGGCTGTGGGGAGAACTTATGACCTTTCAATACCTGAAAGAGGGCTACAAGAGAGCTGGAGAGAGACCTTTTACAAAGGGCATGTAGTGAAAGGACAAGGGGAATGGCTTATGAAAGAGAGTAGGTTTAGATTAGATATTAAGATGAAATTCTTTACCCTGAAGGTGGTAAGGCAGTGGCAAAGGTTGACCAGAGAAGCTGTGACTGCCCTGTCCCTGGAACCCGTATTTTTTTTAGACTCTTCCTCAGATTTTTCCCAGCATTCATGCGACGACCTCTTGAGCAGGGAAGACACAGAACACTCAATATGAGATCCTGCAAAAGCCTTCAAACTTTATTTCTTTGCCAGCATTCTTTTATACACATTTCTATAATGTATGCCTACGTGTCAAACTCTAAATGGTGGACAGACAGCAACAATGTTCGCATGCTCCTCCCAGGAGCAGTCACTTCTGCATCTATTTTTAACCATAACTTGTTTTGCTCAACCTAATGTTGCACCAAAGTCACCGTGTCCTTGTCCCTGTTTCCCGCCTTTGCTGCTCCTGTTTGGGCTGGTAGGAGTCTCCTTGCTGACACAGCACCTCAATGGAACTATGTCCTTGTTCTGTTAGCCATTCTCCAGCACATTCATATTCTGGTCTCAATCTCAACAACACTTGACTCATAAGGAAAAAATAAATCCTTTATCCTACTCAGTTGCTCTTTTTTATTTAAGATCTGTGAACTACAGAAAACATTTTCTTCTACAAGGAAAACCAGGATCTCAAATTCAAAGTTTGAAAAGGGAATGCATGTAATACTGACACAATTACTGTTTTCTAGGTTACTATCTAAAAAAAAAGAAGTACATGAATTCATTTGGCGACCAAATGGGTGACATAATGAAAATGAAATGAAAGCAGATCCCTGATCAACTCAGATAAAAGCTGCAAGTAAAAATATTACCTTTTTAAATGTATTATCTGATATTTTTTACCTGTAACCAGTATTCTACATCTTCTCCTTTCCTACAGGTATTGAAAGCTTCCAGGAGCAGATGAATTACAAAGAAATTTGAATTAGTATGGAGAACTCTCAGTTTTCTAACACCAGTGGACAGGGCTGTGGAGAGATTACTTCATTTCAGTGAAGAAAGGCATGCAAAGATCCCAAAAAGGGAGAGGAATATTTCAATACTTTAAAACAATATATTACAGTCACAATTTCCCTCTCTTGTCATTATGGGCAGATTAACACTGACATTTTGAATTTATTTTTTTATTATGCTCACAAGCTTCAAACTACATACACTAGGCAAATTAATACTCAAACCAATGAATATTCAGGTAGAATTTACTTCCACTGCCTGAAAATTATTGAAACCTCAGAAAATCATATGCCATTGTCTAATCCCAGTAGGCAGCTAAGCACCACACAGTCACTCACTCTCCCACTCAGTAGAGAAGGGGAGAGAATCAAAAGGGTAAAAGTGAGAAAACCCATGGGCTGTAATAAAGACAGTTTAATATTTTTTTAAGAAAAGAATGAGGAGGAAAAGCAATAAAAGCAAGGGAAAAGAATTATGCAAAAACCCTTTAATTGCTCACCAGCAACCCATTGATACCCAGACAGTTCCAAAGTAACAGCAACCTGGCCAAACTCCTTCCCTCCTCCTCACCCCTCACTTTACATGTAGGGCATGATGCCATAAGGTATGGAATATCCCCTTGTTCAGTTGGAGTCAGCTGTCCCAGCTAACATACATATTCTTATGAAGAGACTTAACCTGATCCTAAACAGTATACCATATCATGGGCAAAAAATCAAACATTTGTATAAAAGATCCGATCCGTTCAACCAAAAGTTCCTTCATC